CTGCAAGGGTGCCCGCCCCCCACAGCACTGTTATGATGTCAGCGCTATTTTTTATGGTAATATCTGGTTTTACGAAGGCATTCGGTGCACATAAAGTGGATGCATATCTTGTGTGGCTGTTGTGGAATACAGTTCAATAAAAAAAAAAATATTGTGCCTGGAGTTTAGCTTGAAGGAATGTCTGAGTGAAGACAGCAGTCCCCATGTTTCTCCCATGGCAGATTTATTTACAATTCTGCTTGCTTGGAGGCCACGCAAACAATTCTTCTAACACATTATTAAACAACCATACCCAGCATAGAACGCTTTTGCAATCTATTGCCACCCAGCTGTTCTAGGACTACACTTCCCAGAATGCCCCGCGGCAGCGTTTCCGCTCGTTCGGATGCTAGGCGCTCATCGATCTTGCAAAAAGCGCTTCCTTCCTAGTGTGGTGCACGATTAATGGCTTCCCCCTCAACATCAAGAATATCAATCCGTTCCGGGGAAGGAATTAATTCGACCGGCGCAAAGGATCCTGGGAGTCCACAGGCTCTAGTTCTCCGGCCAAGATGTCTGACATGGAGGATGACTTCATGTGCGATGATGAAGAGGATTATGACCTGGTAGGAAGCGATTGTGTAAGCGTTTGTGTCGTGCTTACTAGGCGGGTGGCCTATTTGTTTTGTCTGCGCGAGTGTAAGCGAGCGAAGGGGAACTATGTTGGCGGGACACTGAGATGTCTCCCTCCCCGTTCTTGAGGCTTGGTGCCTCTCGTATAACAGTAGTGATGACATGACAGGCTGCGCTCCCACCGTCCGATCACCACTCACCTGCTCTGGACTTGGCAAGATGGCTGTGCGGGGTGTAGCTGTGCTCTGCGAGCTGGAGGAGAGTGCCCCTTGAGCCACGATCTGCTGCCGGGTCCCGTAGGCCTTATCCCCACCCTCCTGATAGGAGACCCCTGGATTTGTTTACTTTCCAGTTTAAGGATGTGTGGGGGAGTCCCTGTATGCTCCACCCTCCCAGATGTGTCCTGGGTTCTGTCATAAGCAGGAGAATTCCAGTGTTTTATCATCAAATTTACAAACAAGTGTCTGAGCATGCAATACGAATAACCAAATATGTGTTTAGACAGAACCTATGTCAGGTTATTTGTTGCTCTCTGTGTCCCCTTGGGGAGAATTCTCTTCACTTCCTGTCCAAGAAACACAACAGAAAGTGACTTAGCATCTGTGTCGAAAAGCTTTTTTTTTCCCCCCCTGCTTCAAGCTGTTTTACATTTCCATAAAAGTTTATGAGAATGCAAATCATGCTTGAAGCAGGTTAAATGCATGTCAGATGGAGGTCGCCTGCAGAGGAAATCATGTGTGCTGGGCTTACATGTCCCTCCTGTGTACTCAGGACCTCCATGGCAGGTGTCGGGATGGAGAGCAGTGGGAGATAAGCAAACATTTGTTGGCTGATATCCCCTGTGATCAATGAACCTGGAAGTGCTCAGCTCTAATTACTTTTAGGGCCGGTTCACACCACAAACTCCACGTTCCAGTGCATTTGGCCTCTGCAAAGCAAGCCGGCCGGCTCCCTGTGTTCAGGGGCAGGAGGGGGCGTGACGGTGCATTTAAGTCAGTGGCACCACAGCCACGCCCCCGCCCGCAGTATGATTGCCTGCACCCTGAAAGTAGGCACATTAGTGTCTGCGTTCTGGTCCATTGCGTTCTGTAAAAATACTGCAAGCATGAGTTGTGACATGAGTTGTCTAATAAACCCCTGATGTCAGAAGCAACGTCCACTCTGCTGCAGAAACACACGGGGGTCGTTCGCTTGGCACAGTTATTCAGCAAGTGGCTAGTATTTTTGTCAATGGATACAAGGCGTTCTCTGATTGGATGAGGAGTGGATAATGTCACCGCCTCTTGCCCAATCAAAGATTCATTGAAAATACAGTATCTCACAGAAGCGAGTACACCCCTCACATTTTTGTAAATATTTTATTATATCATTTCATGTGACGACACAGAAGAAATTACACTTTGCTACAATGTAAAGTACTGAGTGTACAGCTTGTATATCAGTGTACATTTGATGTCCCCTCAAAATAACAACACACAGCCATTAATGTCTAAACCGCTGGCAACAAAAGTGAGTACACATCTAAGTGAAAATGTCCAAATTGTCACGGAGTTGGTGGAAGTTGGAGACCTTGCGCTCCTCCACCTTCTCTTTGCGGATGCCCCACAGAGGCTCAATAGGGTTTAGGTCTGGAGACAAGCTTGGCCAGTCCATCACCTTTACCCTCAGCTTCTTTAGCAAGGCAGTGGTCGTCTTGGAGGTGTGTTTGGGGTCCTTATCATGTTGGAATACTGCCCTGCGGCCCAGTCTCCGAAGGGAGGGCATCATGCTCTGCTTCAGTATGTCACAGTACATGTTGGCATTCATGGTTCCCTCAACGAATTGTAGCTCCCCAGTGCCGGCAGCACTCATGCAGCCCCAGACCATGACACTCCCACCACCATGCTTGACTGTAGGCAAGACACACTTGTCTTTGTACTCCTCACCTGGTTGCTGCCACACACGCTTGATGCCATCTGAACCAAATAAGTTTATCTTGGTCTCATCAGACCACAGGACATGGTTCCTGTAATCGATGTCCTTAGTCTGCTTGTCTTCAGCAAACTGTTTGCAGGCTTTCTTGTGCATCCTCTTTAGAAGAGGCTTCCTTCTGGGACGACAGCCATGCAGACCAATTTGATGCAGCGTGTGGCGTATGGTCTGACCACTGACAGGCTGACCCCCCCACTCCTTCAACCTCTGCAGCAATGCTGGCAGCATTCATACGTCTATTTCCCAAAGACAACCTCTGGATATGACGCTGAGCATGTGCACTCAACTTCTTTGGTCGACCATGGCGAGGCCTGTTAAACCGCTGTATGGTCTTGGCCACCATGCTGCAGTTCAGTTTCAGGTTCTTGGCAATCTTCTTATAGCCTAGGCCAGTGGTTCTCAACCTTTCTAGGGCCGGGACCCCTTGGAACATTTGCCAAGTTGTGGTGACCCCCAAAGGTAAAATTTAAAGATGACACAGCCGCTGCATGTTGAAGAGCAGGTTACAAGTCAGTCCTAATTAACCATTTTAAGGTCCCCAGAATTAGCATTAAAATTAAGCTTAACACTGAGCGGCAGTCAGTAAAATCTCTGAAGTGGTCAGCAGGGCAGCCTTTTAATATTTATTGGACCCTGAGCAAACATTTTTCTGGGCCATTTTTCACCCCTACCCCCAAGCCACGTCCCCTACCCGCCACACCACCTACTTGCCCTGCACCCACCATGCAATTCCCCTCTCCACCACAGCATCCCAAAAAAGGGAGAGGTTGTGCGGCGTACAGCAGAGGTGAAGCAAAACTACACAATGTCAATCGCATAGTAAACAGAATGGTGCTGCCCTCCACCCTGTCCTATGCCATCCTTTACCTGTGTACTGTACCATCCTACCCCCTGAATTGTACCACCCTCCCTCCTATTCATCCTTCCACTTTGTACTGTGCCAACCTCACCCCCCATCCTGTACCATCCCCCCCCCATACTGCCATGTCCCAATGTCCTGTCCCATACTTCCCCCCTGTACTGTGCCATCCTTCCCTCACTGTCCTGTCCTATCCCCCCCCCTACTGTGCCATCCTTCTCCCTGTGCCAGGTCTCGCTCACTGGCAGCAATTAGGTCCTTCTTTCACCAGGTCCTTGATGCACTTATTGTATCTGTCCAGCTCTGCCTTGTGTGCCTGAACTCCAAGGGCTGCAGCCCCATGATTAGAGTGCCGGTTCTGCCTCCTTAATAGGCACAGCAGCCAGCAGCAGAAATAGGTGGCCGGGATTAGAGGGGTCGGAGCGACACTGTTAAGTGTGCAGAGTGGATGAAGCAGACAATGGAAGCCGAGACACCGAACACAGCCAGCATTCCTGCATTGATGGGCCCCCTCCTTGCCGAATGATACAGACGGCCCATGGTAGTTAGTGAAGCAGTATCGGCGGGAAGGGAACCTCCTCACCTACTGATCACGTGTCATTCCACACGCATCCCTCTCTCTGCTCCTCCCCGCTGACTGCTGCAGCGACATCAGGCGGCTGGGGAGTGACCAACACTGCCGCGACCCACTCAAGAAGGGGCGGCGACCCACTTTTGGGTCGCGACCCACAGGTTGAGAACCGCTGGTCTAGGCCATCTTTATGTAGAGCAACAATTCTTTTTTTCAGATCCTCAGAGAGTTCTTTGCCATGAGGGGCCATGCTGAACTTCCAGTGACCAATATGAGTGAGAGCGATAACACCAAATTTAACACACCTGCTCTCCATTCACACCTGAGACCTTGTAACACTAACGAGTCACATGACACCGGGGAGGGAAAATGGCTAATTGGGCCTAATTTGGACATTTTCACTTAGGGGTGTACTCACTTTTGTTGCCAGCGGTTTAGACATTAATGGCTGTGTGTTGTTATTTTGAGGGGACAGCAAATGTACACTGATATACAAGCTGTACACTCACTACTTTACATTGTAGCAAAGTGTAATTTCTTTGTTGTCACAGGAAATTATATAATAAAATATTTACAAAAATGTGAGGAGTGTACTCCCTTCTGTGAGATACTGTATTACTAGGCATTCACTAAATGGCTACTGTGCCAAGAGAGTGACTAGGCCAGCTGATTTTACATTCTTTGGGTTCAGATTTGCTCTGTTATCTACAATTCTTGCCAGTGGAGAAACTGACCCTATGCACACCTTGTGTGTGATCAGCCGTGCCCAGATTGGTACCCTATACAACCCAATGGTCGACACTGCCACTGATTGAATGTAGCCTTTTTTCCAACCATTATATGTGGATAGGACTTCTGACCAGCCCTGAATGCAGACAGTTTGGGTCCAGGGCCCACGGTTCAGGACATACACAAACTGGACACAGCTAATAGTAGGCATAGCACAGAGTGCTGCTGCATGCAGTGTTTTGCCACCTCTGGATGTTGCGGTATAGCCACCCATCTGAATGAGCCCTAAGGATTCCTGCTCATAAATTAATTTTAGCTGTGGTACATTATCACCCTTTATTAATTGTTCTGTCAAAAAGTCATCTTATAGGCTATGTAATATGGTAGCAACATTCTGTGGTTAAAAAGACACTGACATCTTGTCTGTGCATGGCAAAGTGGCATTGTCTCTTCAAAGGGCCCTCATGACCTTATGCTTCCCTTGCCTGTGGCCCCTCACCACTCCTTCCTCTGTTGCATCCGGCACTGAAATTACCAGTGTCTGCAACCAGGAAGATCCGTGACTTCACTCTCTCGGTTGACAGTGCTGGTGCTTAGGGTTTGGCTACTAGGCCCAAGCACTGTCACAAGGTCACATGCTCCTCCATACTTGGTAGCTCTGGGTAGTGTTGCCAGCTGTGATAGAGAATGAAGCAGCAGGGGACCACTGGCAAGGTGTGACTTGGTGGGGGGCTTTGCTAAACACTGTCATTTGCCCTGCATGAGCAAGAGGACATTGTCTCTAACTTTCAATAGGTCCAGGGTAGGCAATGTCGATACTCCAATTGTTGTGGAACCTCAAGACCCATCATGCCTCTGGGATTTTTGCATTGACTTGTAGTATGACAAGACTGTGACAGCTACAGGCATGGCTCCCAGAGGCAGATACATTGTGGGATTTGTAGTTTTACAATAGCTGGAGTGCCGAAGTTGTCTACCCCTGAAATAGTTAATAAGTAAATACACTGTTAAAATATGTTTGTGTAAACTAGTTGTCTTGAACAGATTCACAAACATTCTGGCAGATAAGTCTTGTGATTCACATAACCCTGCCACACTGAGGAGCCAGGAAGGTGACATCGCTTTATCTGCTAAAATGAAGTACATGAATTACTATAGTGCCCCTCCCTCGTCCAGTCTGAATTACCGTAGTGCCCCTCCCTCGTCCAGTCTGAATTACCGTAGTGCCCCTCCCTCGTCCAGTCTGAATTACCGTAGTGCCCCTCCCTCGTCCAGTCTGAATTACCGTAGTGCCCCTCCCTCGTCCAGTCTGAATTACCGTAGTGCCCCTCCCTCGTCCAGTCTGAATTACCGTAGTGCCCCTCCCCCGTCCAGTCTGAACTACCGTAGTGCCCCTCCCCCGTCCAGTCTGAAACACCGTAGTGCCCCTCCCCCGTCCAGTCTGAACTACCGTAGTGCCCCTCCCCCGTCCAGTCAGAATTTTGCTCTGCACTGAGTTACAGGAAGCTACTATAAATACAGATCGGTGGTACCTGTCCTAGGAGTATTTCACAGATTGAATGACTTTGTAAAAAAACAAACTGAGAGTAACATGGAGGATGCCATTGTTGGCCCCTTTTGAACCTTTTTGTCACATTTGAAGTCCCTGAACTGCAGCATGTGTTCAGCAAAGTTGAAGCAGTGTGATGTCACAATCCGGAACTGTATTCTTGTTCCAGTTCACCGAGTCAGAAATGAGAAGGATAAATTTCACAGAAAATGGTACTATGGGCAAAATACCGATGGTACCAATGCAGCCGAAAATTCAGTGCATCGCAAGCTTCTCCCCTCCCCGCTGGGTGCTGGTCTGTGTTCCCTCCAGTCCCCACTGCGTTCCCCGCCTGTGTCGGCAGAGGCAGCGGGGATCGGAGGGGACACAGACCAGCACACAGCTCAGGTGGGTGATGTGACTGCTTTCAAATAAACGATTGTTGAATATCAGATTGCAATTCATATATTTTTTAGCAGTATAGTAACTGGTGAGGACTGACCTGTATGGAGTCGGTACCCAGAGGCAGAGAGATGGTATTACAGTGACCTGGAGCTGAACATTATGAGATTGTGCACATCTAGAGTTGCATGTTGGTATGAGGAGAGAGCAGATGGACAGAGTCTGCTGCTTCTCCTATACTGCCCAGTTGTTACTTTTTGGCTCATGTCTCATGCTGCACCCATATTTCAGGGTGTAACATGAAACAAGGTGTCATTGCCAGCCCCCTCACTTACCTAAATAGGTTTCCGCTCCGCAGGCTCGTGTCACAGTTTGAATTCGGCATAGCTCCGCCCGCACATCTGCAAATCCATTCACACAGCCAGAGGGACACGTACTTCTCAGTAGAATATCGATATGGGGATGTCACGGCACTTGTAGTCCATTCATACTTCCTCCTATCCCAAAGCTGAATGTTCTTACTTTGGTATGAACAAGGACTGAGAAGAGGAATCTGCAGGAGTCAGAGCATGGCACCCATGATCCACGGATCTCAGTTGCAATGCTTTGCAGACTCAAATGGAAAAAAAAGAAATAAATGCAAATGTTTGTTTTTCTTCTGATAATGCGTGCAGTTATTTATTTATTTTGTTTGCAAAAGCCGGACTATGCCTCTAACCACAGAAGAGAAAAATCAGATCGCCTGCTCTGCTAAACAGGGACGTGCTGTGTTGGCAGAGCTGTGTAAATCTTAGAACTGTATGAACAGAAATACAAATCCTTTGGCAGGTAAAATGGCTCCCTTGTATGCATTTCATGTATGTATGCCTGAAGTGACAACACGGATGGCACCGTGTCAGATACAGTCCATAATAGAAGTCACCAGCACTCGATGATATGCGCAAGAAGTAGAATCACTTTTTATTAAATTGTCACATGCCTCATACAGCCGACGGTTCGGGGCCACACAGGGTCCCTTCTTCTGGGCGACATAGTCACCTTAAAATAAACCTGTTCTCATAAAGTACAGACGCTGCTGTTATTTGGTTTCTAAAAACTCTAGTTACTTGGCTGCAACTTCTGCCTATATTGATGTCTGAGTCACAGACATGGCACAAGCCTATGCAGCAAATAAGTCCCCATACTTGGTCTAGGTCAGTGACTCAAAAGTACTGAAGTCACTGGATCAGCATGGCAGCCAAGATAGAAAGGTTCTGTCACAGTTGGAATGGCTCTGGGAGAATCTAAAAGATCAGACTCCCTATTAAACCTTCAAGTTAAGAAAAAAGTTCTTGAGTGCAGCTGCTCTTTAAAAAAACAAAATGTGCATAAAGTGAAACGCGCCTCATACATTCTCCATGGCCCTCATTCTGCATATTCTTTGGATATTTTCCACTTTTCTTTATCATTTTTATACATTTTGGGGTTTTTTTTTGTTTGTTTTTTTTGGTTAATGGAAAGTCCAATAATTTTCTCTTTGGTCTGTACACAGGAATACTCAGAAGATAGTAACTCTGAGCCCAACGTTGACCTGGAAAATCAGTACTACAACTCCAAAGCATTGAAGGAAGATGATCCCAAGGCAGCTCTCAGCAGTTTCCAGAAGGTGGGAGTACTTCTTCCCGCCATTACTAAATGATGGCAATTTTGTATTGTTTTGTAGGTGGAAGGGGGCGGGGGGGTGTGACTAATTGCTGTTTGTATCCCTACTGGTGAGATCTCCCTTCACTTCGTGTCTGTGTCAAAGGAAGCAAATGGAGACTAATAAAACTTCCGTTCTCCTTTTTAATAAGAATTTGTTTTGTGACTAATAGGAATTTCCCTTCACTTCGACTGGAGGATGAAAAAAATAAGAAATAGGACATCTTTCCCTTTGTTGGGTATCCAGTCCTCTAGGGCGCTCAGCATCAGTGGCACTACAGATTTAGAGCAGCCATTAGAGGAGCCACAAATAATGCATGCTAAAATGTATAACAACAAGACTAATAGAGGTTCCAACCTTTTATACACACTATTTAAAGGTAAAAGAGGAACTCCCAGGAATGGAGAAAATTAACCCTTGCAGTTGGGGATAGCCTTACAATGAAAGGGTTAACTGCTCATTTTGGTCTAGGAGCTGGATTAAAGATCCTTGATCCCGACTGGCTGCTAGACCGGTCCCTCTTCTCTCCTGGACTCTGGCAGTCTAAGCCCCACTGACGTCGTCACATCTAGTGCAGGTGAATGAACCTGCATTAGATTTGAGGACGGGGAGAGAGGTGAGCGCTGACTGGAATTCCTTTTAAACAAAAAGAAAACAAACAACCAGAGTATTGATTTATTAATAATTGTAATAAAAGTCTTTATTTTATATACCAATACAAATAATATTGAAATGAGTTGTGTTGACAGTGCTGTTCCTTAAGGTGCCCATACACTGTACGATTCTCGTACGAGAATCGCGGGAAATCCCGCGATCGTACGAGAATCGTACAGTGTATGGAAAGCGTGCGACCGTTTCTACTGTACGGTCGCACGTCTTCCATCGAACAAGCAGGCTGGAAAACCCGCCGGGAATCGTACGATTCTCGGCGAGTTAGTGGCCTGCTTGTTCGACAACTGACGAACGAGCCGGTGTGCGCACGCACGCACACACTGCACGTTTGCCGTCCTTGCAAACCCGCCCCTCATTGCAGTCATCGCAAGCCCGCCCCTCAAGTACGATCTGCCTGTCCAAGATGGGCAGATCGTACGTTTTTTTAAGTACTTTACAACCATCGCAAGACTAAGGTCTTGCGATGGTTGTACAGTGTATGGCCACCTTTAGAGTGTGTATGCGTGGGCCTTTAGTCATCCCCTAATCAGGGCAGTTAAAAAGGCCATATGTTGGGAGGAATATACAGGTGAAACTCGAATAATTAGAATATCGTGCAAAGTTCATTTATTTCACTAATGCAACTTAAAAGGTGAAACTAATATGAGATAGACTCATTACATGCAAAGCAAGATAATTCAAGCCGTGATTTGTCATAATTGTGATGATTATGGCTTACAGCTCATGAAAACCCCAAGAACCCCAAATCCACAACCTGAAAAAAGTAGATTATTACATGCAATCAATAAAACAAGGATTGTACATAGAACAATATCGGACCTCTGAAAAGTACAAGCATGCATATGTACTCAGTACTTGGTTTGGGCCCCTTTTGCAGCACTTACTGCAATTACTTTTGCACGATATTCTAATTATTCGAGTTTCACCTGTATACCCAATCAAGACGAGGTTTGTTGCTCTGACTTATCCTCCTGATTGCTACAACAGTCGTCTGACTGGTTAGACATTAAGAACAAAAGCTTGGACACCGGCACTCCAATAGCTGATTAAGTACGTCTATGTAATAACGTACATGCTGCATAGCAAATACACTTAATGCTTAGTGGATTATTTGCATTATGTGTATTTGCTATCCAGCACGTTCATTATTACATAGACGCACATAATCAGCTATTGGACTGTCCGTGTCCATGGTTTTGTTTATATGACAAAGCGGTTGCAAACCACTGACTACAAGTTGCGCCCAATTTATCACATTGGATCAGCAGTATCTGAGTACGGTGAGTATACGGACTGTATCTGGTTAGACATAAGGACGCCTTATATTACTAAATAATAAAGTTGAAATCTTTTTCTGGAGAACCTGTAGGCCAGTAATGGCTCTTACTTGCAGGGGAATCCACATTTGGCCAAGAACACAGAAACTGACCTTTTGGCTGGCAATGAGATCTCAGGAACATGGTAGTTTCTGAATGAAATGATACCAGCAAGTGACTTTATAGTGGGGCTGCTATGGATATGCTACGTTGCTCATCTGGGACTGCAGTTGCCTTGTGTTGGTGCAGATCTCGCCACACACAATATCTAAAGTCGCAGAAGATGGAAGAATTCACAATCCTCCTTTCTTCATTTGAACAAAGGAAGATTACTCCCTCGCCAGACACATAAAAGTTCTTTTGAGGGTTCCTCTTGTTGGTTATGTGTTCAGATGAAGCACTGAGATCTTGAGGAATGCTGAATTAAGTTTTACTTGCTTAGGACATTACATTTATGAATATGGCATTGTAAAGAAAACAGAAAGAAAAAGAACTTCCTGTGTATCATGGATAAGCATACACACAGAGACTAGCATTCCACTACAGCACCATCTTCAGCTTAAAAGACATATCAGTATATGCTGTTGCATTTCCAACACCTCTGACCAGACTTGTGCAGTAGGTTTCAGGTTGTGGGAGCTTATGAAAGTTTGAGTATATCCTGTTCAGGATCTATGGTTCCTGTTAAGACTTCAAGATGGACATTGTCAGGTTTTTCTTCTCATCTTCCATTTCATTCCCATCAAGGATCTTTGGTGTAAGCAAAGCCCTAGGTTCTATGTACACATAACCAAAAGGTGTCTCATAATCTTTCCAGTCCAAAAATGTCAAGCTTTTTATCCTCCTATTTTTTCCTAGTGGGAAAACCAGGAGACTTAAGACTAGTCTTGGTTTTGAATGCTTTACACAGATGGATCAGGATCCAGATATTGCATATGGAATCACTGTATTCAATCACCTAAAGGTGAACTATGGGGTCAGGGTTTTTCCCATAGTTTTCCTAAGGGTAACGGGAGGACACAAACTAGCGTCCTCCCATCACCCTAAGCTCAGGATACCGTGAGCTACAGCTCGCGGTATACTGAGACGCCGCAGCCGGGACAGATCCCGACATTACTGTTGATCCACCCAGCTGCGGGATTGACAGCTGGCTCTGCCTATTTATAGGCAGAGCCAGCTGTGCCCGCCCCCACCCCCGTTCGTTCCGCCAGTCAGCGCTGAAAGATCAGACAGGGGGGGAATCCCTGCAGGCAGCCGTGAGTGGTGGTCACCGCTATCACTATATGCAGGGACATGATTGAGAAGTGAGCGAGCGACGGTATGTGTTCCCGATCTATTTCATTGTCACAGGTCGGCTAGAACTATGAGGCTGAGTGATTTTCACTCGCCTCATAATTCTCCTTTAAGCCTTATAGGATGTTGTGTCTGGCAGCTGTGTATTTATGTTCCTGCACTTCCTCAAATGTTTTGCTTGCCATTCTAATGTTCCACTTTCAGTTTATCTGCCTTTTGGCCTCGCCACAATCCTAGGACATTTTCCAAATGTTACATCCTGTCACAGCCTTCTCGAGTGAACAAGGCTTGAAGTATTCCACTATTTGCAGCAACATCCTGCTGATAGTTCAGCATGCTCATATTTTGGCAGTCCACGGGAACACCTTAACCCCTTCGTGACGGGAGACGTACACTGTACGTCCAGCCACAAAGGGACCAGTTAGGCTATGATCAAATTTAAAGGGATCACCAACGGGGAAAGCCAAGTGGTCTAAGTGTTTTGTTTGAGACAGGTCAAGCCTCTATCCTCCTCTTTGGCGTCCCATTGTCTCACGTTGACAGGATCATTTCAAATAGTGAAATTAGACTTATTGGAGGCAATGAGACTTCCAACAGGATTCTTCAGACAACAGAGAAAACATTCCCTGTGCCAGAGGATCAGGATGATTCCAAATATGAGATTCGTTGGTTGTGGCTGAGGCTGGCGAGCCTATTTCAACTGTCATCAATGTCCCTATCCAGTTATAGTGTTAATAATGGATTCTTATGTGCGAAACACTTCAACAACCTCTTAGTCCAAGGTCAGTGACAATCCATTGAGGGAAGAAAGTCTCCAGCATCTTGGCGTTCAGAGAGCCTTTCAGATCCAAGGAACCTCCGGATTGGTTCAATGAACAACTGGATGATGTTTTTTTTTCCATAGATTTAGTGTCTGCTCATAGATGTAGGAACTGCTCACTGCTGATGGAGGTACCACCAATCATGAATTCAGAGCTGAACTCCCCAGAATTTCCTGACTGACACTATAAGCCACAAAGCCCTGGACAACAATTAATGTTTTCTTATCCATCAGTTTCATGTGGAATAGCAGCAAGCGGGTTATCCAATATGTACTTGGGTGTCAGTACCCTCTATCCGCATCCTCTGAAACAAAATGGGCAGTTAATTTATTGATAAGCCAGCTCTTAAGGGCTTGCGCAAGAATTCGCTCTTCATCAAAGTTGCTTCTTTTCCCTTAGAATTTACAAATCCTGCTGGTTATGTTCTTCCTTCTCGACTTCATCATCTAGATCACACTAACTCAGTGTGGACAGTAAACTGTAAAATAGTTTTTCCATAGTTACATAGTATTTGGGGTTGAATAAAGACATACGTCCATCAAGTCCAACCCATATAGGTCCACACATCATCTCATTCTTAGTGATACTGGTATCCCTGGATATTACGGTCCCTCAAGAAATTGTCCAAACGTTTCTTGAGCAAATCTACACTCTTGGCTGTACACTCTTACAGCAATCCCTTCAGGGAGGAGGGTCTTGAAAGGTCAACCTTAGGCAGCAAACCACCTTATTGCTACCATTTCCCAGACAGGGTAATTCAACATCTCCCTCCCAGCATCTTCTAATGGTTGTAAGATCCTTCCATCTAAATAGGACATCATTGCTGCCAATATTCAAGAATAACGATTAGTTTCAGCTCATGCTTTAAATGTGGCTGCTATGCCAAAGTACATTGAGGTTACCTTTTCTGTCACGTCGATCTGTTCATCTTTCTGGTGGTATCAGAAAGGGGCTCTCTGCGTCCACTAGGTCACATGCATTGTGGCTGGACAAGAAGATGGAGCCACAAATTAATCTTTGGGGGTGCTCTTCCAAAGGATGTCATCCTTATGGATAGAATTAAGTGGTGTGCCACCAAAGTTATTCTGGAAGGCAGTAACCTGGTCCATGTTCCTGTCCCATTATAGTGTCTATCCAGGAGTTTTGACCATGGTGAAGTTTGGTTCTGAATTTGTTTTAACAGTGGTACAAATAAATAAATATCTCAGCATCACACCCCCTGGTTTTAGATTACTATGTCCCATTTGTATGCTGCCATGTTGGAGTAAGGAAAACATAAAATTGTATACTTGTCTGTCCATTTTCCTTTCCTGACGCCAATACATGGCAGCATACGGGACCCTCCCATGGCTTTCGGATTGAGTACTTATTACAAGAATGGCTGCCTTTAATTTATAATATAACTGGTCCTGTGATTGGGTGAGAAGTGGAGCCGTTCCCATTCATATGCTACATTGTATTGGCGTCAGGAAATTAGGTAAGTATATAATTTTCCGGTGTGTGTGTGTGATATATATATCACACACATCTGTAACATCCTGTAAGGAGTATTGCTTCTGACCTGAAGAGAGAGAGAGGTTCACTCTCGAAAGCTTGTCTTTTATATATTTTGTTAGTCCAATAAGAAAGGCATCATTGCACACTGCGTTTTTGTCTTTTTTGACATCTTATCTACTGGACTAATAAAAAAAATATATATATATATATATACATATACATACACACACACACACACTCTGCAAAATCCTTTGTTGGAATCTCCATCAGCTGCCTTGTAGTATTTTCCTGAATCTCATCAACGGTCTGAAATCTGTTCCCTTTCACAGGTAATTTTTAGTTTTTGGGGGAAAAGGGGCCTGGATGAGTGTACTCATGGTGGACAACACCTTCACAATCAAAAAACACAGTTAACTTGATCTTGCAGCTTTGCTGCGCTTTCTTCAGACGTGGAGAACCATGGCACTTCCATTAGGATGACTGGGCCTTCGCTTCTGGATCATTGCCATAGACCCACGATTCATCTTCGGTTATGACGTTCTTGAGGAAATCTGGTTTATTGGTAGCGGTTTGAAGCAAGTCATTAGCCACTGCAGCACGGTATTCCTTTTGCTCTGGTAGCAGAAGCCGCTGAACGATTTTAGCCAGAACGCGTTTCATGCCAAGATCACACAGTAATTTTTTTAATCCCCAGATCAGCTTCTAGTTCTCGCACTCAGTTGCCAATCTTTGCTGATTGTAGCCCGTACATTTGTAGAACTCTGGTGTTCTGCTTCTTGCAGGCCTTCCAGAACGTTGATCACTTTCAACAGATTCCCAACCATCTTCGAATCACTTGTGGCACACTTTTATTTGCGCTGCACTCATTGCATCATCCCCGAAAGCCTTCCGAATCATCTGAATATTTTCCGCGGAGGAATGTTAGCGCAAAATTTGATGCAGATTTGTTGCTCTACTAGCTCTGTTATTTATTTTGAATGCGACGGCCACATAGTACACATGCTTACTTAACGGCATCTAGTGCCCCCACTGACTGGTACAGGGAAGTTTTCATTGTTCATGCATGCGCATTCCAGTTAAAGGCCGTGACACACTGCAGGCGAAGCAGCGCAGAGCGGTGGCGCGCTGCCTTTGCGAGCAGTGTGTCATGTCACTTTCTTCTCGGCACCTCTGCTTGCGAGAGCTCGCAGAGCTGAGCGTGCCGAGATGAACAATTTCAACTTCAGCCAATCGGCTCGCGCGTATAAACCGGCGCGACGGGATGCGACTTCTGGCCGGTTGTTACAGACGAGCCGATTGGCTGAAGGTGCAGTCAATCATCTGACTGCACTCAGCTCACACACTGCACGCGAAGCTCCGTGCCGGAGAGCTTTGCTTTGCTCTGCACGGCTTCGCGTGCAGTGTGTCACGGCCTTAACACTCCTTGGCTGCCAGGTTACATCAATGTTGCGCAACCGTTTTTGTGAGTTGATATTGTTTAAACTTTGTTCTAATTTTTTCTTTACTTTCAGGTTTTAGAGCTGGAGGGTGAAAAGGGAGAATGGGGATTCAAAGCATTGAAACAGATGATCAAAATAAATTTCAAACTGGTAATTATTTTTCAGTATATCCATTGTATTAATCTCTTGATGATTAATGATTTTAAATGAACCAGGCTTGTGACTGAAGTACACGTGTATTTTAGTGGAAAAAAATGTCCAATTACAATGTACTTTTTTTTTTTCTTTTTTTTTTTTTTTTTACAGGCTAATTTTCCTGAAATGATGAACAGATACAAACAATTGTTAACCTACATACGCAGTGCTGTCACCAGGAATTATTCTGAGAAATCTATCAACTCGATTCTTGATTACATCTCCACATCTAAGCAGGTCTGGTTACATTAGAGTGTTTTGCAGTAATATCAGTCCTTGGTTAAATGTTTTCTTATAACGATATTGTTAGTTTTAAATCTGAACTCCAGACAAATAGCTAAACATATGTTTGAAATTAATATATGGTGCCTGTTTTATAATTCAGTCCTTCCAATCCTGAGATTGCATGGCCCTTTCAGATTGTACAGCCAGGCTGGTTAACTGACTTTTTTTCTGCTGCTATTAAGCCTCCTTGTTCTCAGCCTGTGATTGGACAGTGAATGAGCAGCAACAGACTGATGAGGTCATCTCTCTGCATGTGTTGATGCCGCACATCTGATTGGACCTAACTGCTGCTCTTTTCTGTCCTGGTTTTGCTGTACAAGAGACTGGGATTTAAATTAAATTCAGATGCTTAAACTATTTGCATTTAAATATCTATTTAACTTTTTAAATATATACATAACTACATTCATTGGTCCTTTTTTATATTTAGTTGGGGTTACACTTTAAACCACTAATCTGCATGTATACATATTGCATTCCCGGGTTCTCGCCCCCCATCAACATGCTAATTCAATTTTGAAATATAATCTTTCCGTTTCCCTTCATACATTTTTTTTTATTTTTTTAGACCCAGTGACATAATCACTGGTTCTCCTAGCAAACAGGTCATGCATGGCTGGTTGGAGTTGCCAGCAGGGTGCTGTACACAGCTTCCTGAAAATCACATCACCCTGCCTCAATATTTAGGAGCCCTTTGCCATAATGCAAGTACTGGGCTGGCTTTTGGGAGGGGTTATGCAGATAACAAAATGTCTTGGATGGGTAGATGTCAGTCTGAAAGAGTGGGTGTTCCTAGGCAGGTTGGCAGACTGCATTTGATTGCAGACCACCCTAGGTAACACCAACATGGTTGGAAGAACTGAAATCCAGGCAGGCCTGGGACCTTAAGGTTGGGGAGAAAAAAATCTAGATGATGTCTTCCACCCAGGGAAGAAAGCAGGCTTTATTTGACTTGCTGCAGATTGTATGGGACATTGTGAGCTTCTCACCATGTGCGGTGAAATCAGAGTAAGTAGTTTCAGTACATGAAAGGAGCCTGTAAAAATGTGCAAGACTGAAGGTAAAGCTGGAGTTCAGCTTTAAGGAGTTGTTCCCAAGTCATCTTCCAGGACAGCACCCGAGAGATAGGCTCCTCCCACCTGAAACAGAAAACACATCATCCACACCAAATAAAAAGCAATCAGTACTAACATGCCTCAGTTATTTGTGTTTTCTCCGGCCTAACAGGAGCCTTGTTAGTTTTTTTTTTCTGTAAAGGCCTGCATGCTAGTTGTAGGGGCCTGCTGCAAAATGTATCCCGGTCAGTGATCCTGGGAACACAGAACCAGCTTCCCGGGGCAGTCCCCATCCTGCCCTATCTGGAAGAATTGTGGCTCTGAAGTTTTCCTCTTTTAAGAGTGGCAACCATCCTCCTGAATGCAACGACTCCAGCTGAGTTTTTCTTCAGCCAGCCTGTGGTTGCCCTGTTTCCAACACCCAGAGCCGCCCTTCTGAAACAGCTCCTCCCTGCATTGCGCTTCCCGCTTGTGGGCACCCGCAGGACTCTACCCACCTGATCTGCCCGTCTCTCCCTGACGGTATTACCTGTGCATAGTCTGCCTGCTCTTCAGGCTGTGGCCGATCGGCAGCCAGAGAGAGATGATCAATTGCGGGCCTCGTGTGTTGACAGGGGCGCTCAGAGCAGGTAGGGATCCAGCGAGTTCGGGTTCTCCCCGTCTGGCGGGAGTATGGGCGAACATTCGGTGGCAGAATGTGACATCACATGGCAGGAGTGACTCACTTCTGTGTAGGAGGAGTTTTTTTTTTTCCCCGGGCAACATGTGGATGCTGATCACTGCTCGGCCACGCAGAGACACATGCGGTGGAGGCAGGGCAGCAGGCGGAGGACCTTGTGGACCACACCAGCAAGGGGGGGAGCAGGGGAGCGGAGCGCAAGTCTTCTGACTGGTGAGCCACCATGCCAACAGACTCTGCAGTGGCTACAGCATGTACTGACCTGGGTAATCCCTCTGCAGCCGGCTCCAAGGCAGGCGAGCGTGCTTTTTATGGCGTCACTCTCTACCTCTCTGTACCCTGGAGTCACAAATTCTCAAATATGAGGGAGCTCAAGGCAATAGGCCTTGCTATTCTCCACTTCGACCCCCTCAAGAGGTGTTCTCATGTTCTAGTCTTGTCAGACAATTCTACAGCAGTCACTTACATAAACAGACAGGGGGGGGCAAGAAATCCCACCTCCATTATGGCATTAGCAGAGGACATACTCCTCTGGGTGGAAGACAAGCTGTTATCCCTCCCTGCAGTTCACCTGAAAGGAGACTTGAACTCATTTAGCGGAATGTTCTCTGAATGTCCAAACTTTCCAGATCATATTGGAGAAGTTGGGGAGTCCGGCAGTGGATCTGTTTGCAACAAGAGAGAACAGGAATGTGGGCCAGTTTTTTTTATTTCCCCTGTGTCCAAGAGACGAGTCTCTTGGACAGTCTGGGAGTCTGGGGGTGGACGCCTTTGCGCACCCCTGGAACTTTCCTCTAGCATATGCATATGCTGTCAAACTAATTCCCAAAGTTCTATTGGCAAGCCCGCCATCCTCATCTAAAACCCTCAACCTGGGACTTTCATAGAGAGTAGTCTCCACACTGCCAAGCAGCAGGAAAGCTACTACATCTGCAATTTACGGTAAGGTCTGGAAGGCTTATTCTTCTTGGATCTCGTACAATAATTTGGGGGACAAGCCTGCTATTGTGCCAGATAAGAACTTTATATAGTACTCTAAAAGTCCAAATCTCTGCATTGTCAGTCTACTTGGAAATCAGACTTGCAGAAGATCCATTGATCAAAAGATTTTTGAAAGCCACTGCTAGGAAACGTCCCGCCAACAAAAATAAGTTTTCCCTCTTGGGACCTGTCGGTCGTTCTCAAGAGTCTCCTCAACCCCTTTTTTTGAGACTATAGAATCTTGTTCGATCTAATTAGTCACGATTGAGGTAGCACTCTTAATGGCTATCATTACAGCAGAAGGGTGAGCGAGATGCATGCGTTCTCAATAGTGAAACCTTCACTGTTTTATCAAGACAAAATTGTACTCAAACCAGATCCAGCAGAATGTCACTGCATACTCTACCTGGTCTTTGGCCTCCTCATTAGTCAAGAGCAGGGGCAACCCCAGATCAAATCTGCAGAGCAGCCACCTCGGCCAGCTTCCATATGTTTGTCAAGCACTACAGAATAGATGTGTTTGCCAATCAAAACCAGGAATTTTGGTAGGAAGGTCCTGCAGGCAGGCACCCCACCCTAAGCCATGTGAGTAGGGTTTCATGCCTATTCTCTCAGGTGCTGCCCTGGAAGATGACTGGGGAAAAGCTGAGTTAGGTTACCTGGTAACTCTGTTTCCAGGAATCTTCCAGGACAGCAGGAATTCCCGCTAGCAGTGGTGTAGATATCTTTCTATGCTTCTGAGTATCCTTCAGTTCATGCTAGTACATATCACTTTTTATTTGGTGTGGATGATGTGTTTCCTGTTTCAGGTGGGAGGAGCCGATCTCTCAGATGCTGTCCTGGAAGATTCCTGGAAACGAAGTTACCAGGTACCTAACTCAGCTTTTTTTGTTTGTTTTTTGTTGTTTTTTTAATCGTATTGTGAAGCAGTACTTTGAATACAGAAAGCTAATGTTGCCCATAGCAGTCAGCCAGGTTTCAGCTTCAATTTTTTCCACCACATATTAGGAACAGTACGCTCCACAAAGTCGTTGGCTGTGGGCAATAACCCTATTTTCTTTGTGCTTTTTTGATGAGCCCCAATGGGTAGAAATATAGACCAACTAGAAGTGTAAGCATTAGCCAGTTATATATTTCTTTACATATCTGACAAATAAAGGGGTTTTCACTTTTAAAGCAAAATTTGATTCCTCTATAAAACTCTTTAAGGCAGTAATAGCTCATTGATTGTTCTATCGGGCTGAGGTCAGGACTGTGTGCAGGCCAGTCAAGTTCCTCCACCCCAAACTCACCCATCCATGTCTTTATGGACCTTGCTTTGTGCACTGGTGTGCAGTCATGTTGAAACAGGAAGGGGCCATCCCCAAACTGTTCCCACAAAGTTGGGAGCATTAAATTGTCCAAAATGTCTTGGTATGCTGATGTCTTAAGAGTTCCCTTCACTGGAACTAAGGAGCCAAGCCCAACCCCTGAAAAACAACCCCACACTATAATCCCTCCTCCACCAAACTTTACACTTGGCACAATGCAATCAGGCAAGTACAGTTCTCCTGGCAACCGCCAAACCCAGACACGTCCATCGGATTGCCAGACAGAGAATCGTGATTCGTCACTCCAGAGAACACGTCTCCACTTCTCTAGAGTCCAGTGGCGGCGTGCTTTACACCACTGCATCCAACGTTTTACATTGCACTTGGTGATGTAAGGCTTGGATGCAGGTGCTCGGCCATGGAAACCCATTCCATGAAGCTCTCTATGCACTGTTGTTGTGCCAATCTGAAGGCCACACAAGTTTGGAGGTCTGTAGCTATTGACTCTGCACTTCAGCATGTGCTGACCCCGCTCTGTCATTTTACGTGGCCTACCACTTCGTGGCTGAGCTGCTGTTGTTCCCAGTTGCTTCCACTAAAAGGTGACCGTGGAATATTTAGTAGCACGGAATTTCACGGAAAAACACCTGAATCCAATGACACACACACACACACACACTCTGTGTGTGTGTGTGTGTGTGTGTGTATAATTTATTTCTTTTTTTTTCCCCCCTCTAGCTTTCTCTTTAGTCAGCCATTATTTAGCCACATGGACAAGCTGTTTTTGTTCAGTGTGTTTTTTTTATTGTTCTGACTAGAGGAGGGGCACAGCTGTTGTAAAGAGTGGAACACCCCATTAACAATTCCAAAAAAGTTGGTACACTCTGTAAAATCTACATAAAAACAGAATGCAATGATTTGCAAATCTCATAAACCCATATTTTATTCACAATAGAAAACATATCAAATGTTTAAACTGAGATAATGGACCATTTTAAGAAAAAACAATAAGGTAATTTTGAAATTGATGGCAGCAACACGTCTTACAAAAGTTGGTACAGGGCAATAAAAAGCTGGCAAACTAGGTGGCACTAACCAGGAAAAATATTTTGTAACTAAATAGGTTAATTGGCAACAAGTCAGTAACATGATCGGGTATAGAAAGAGCATCTTACAGAGTCGGAATGTCTCAGAAATAAAGATGGGCCGAGATTCACCAATCTGTGAAAAGCTGCATCTAAAAATTGTCAAACAATTTTAGAATAATGTTCCTCAACGTAAAATTGCAAAGACTTTAAATCATCAGACTTATGATCATCTGCAGTACATAATATCAAAAGATTCAGAGAATCTGGAGAAATATCTGTGTACAAGGGCGCAAATTAATATTGGATGCCCTTGATCTTCGGGTTCTCAGACGCCACTGCATTAAAAACAGGCAAAGGCTCAGGAATACTTCCAAAAATCACTGTCTGTGGACACAGCTCGCTGTGCCATCCAAAAATGTCAGTGAAAGTTCTACCATGCAAAGAAGAAGCCATATCTGAACATGATCCCGAAACGCCGCCGTCTTCTCTGGGCCAAAGCTCATTTAAAATGGTCTGTCACAAAGTGGAAAACTGTTCTGTGGTCAGACGAATCTAAATTTCACATTCTTTTTTGGCAACCATGAGCGTCGTGTCCCTAGGACTAAAGAGGAGAGTGATCTCCCGGCTTGTTATCAGCGCTCACTTCAAAAGCTTGCATCTCTGATGGTATGGGGGTGCATTAGAGCGTATGGAATGGGCAGCTTGCACATCTGGAAAGGCACCAACAAAGCTGAAGGATATATCCAGGTATGTCCCATCTAGAGCAGTGCTTCTTAAAGTGTGGGTCGCAACCCCATGTGGGGTCCCGCAAGTTAACAGGGGGGTCGCAATCAGAGTCCCCAGCCAGGACCGCCATCAGGGGGGTATGGCCGGTACTTGTGTGAGGGGGCCGAGGAGGTCTGGGCTCCAAGCTAGATTGTTTTATTTCATTTTAATGTATATTTTGTAGTGTGGTTTTTAAGTATGCTGACAGGAGGTCGCGCC